TGGACGGCCGATTAGCCACTGATCACAAGAATGTCGCTGTATTGCGCCATAATATGACTTGAGAAATATAAATGGATAACTTTCGCTGTATATTAGGCAAGCGATTGGCTGTCGTGTAATACAATATTGGATGTTCTAATGACCGGTTTGGCACTGTGGTGCCCCAAAGATTTCCTGTAGGTTTTCAAGAAATAGACGGTCGAAGTGTGGGGGTTTTAGCGCTCTTTCAATTTAGTATTGTGTGTTCTGATAGTGGGTTTGGAACTGGATATGGTATAGCAAGAAGTCAATTTTAGCAAATATTTTTCTTAAAGTGAGTTGAATTTAATATTATTTTCACCGGAAAGAGGCGCGGAATGCAAGGAGATCCTTAAAAACACGCCCAACTCTTCAGCTTCGAAATAATGAACATTTTATGACCACTTTGAGTCGTTTTTGAGCGGTACCGATTTTTAACCGACGATTTCTACCTTCTTATGGACCTAAAACTTCATATTTGCATGTTACAGAGCTTCTTCGGTCGTAAACAATCCCAGCGCAAAAAACGCGGTTGAGAAATTTTAACTGACTTTTGACCAAAAATATAAAAGATATCAAAATGTCTCGAATTTTACATCATTTTGACCGAAAATACACGGAGATTCTTAAAAAATATGCTAGACCCTTCAGATCCGAAATAATCAACATTTTTTGTCCATTTTGAGTCGCTTTGAGCCGTACCGATTTTTAACCGACTATTTATTTTTATTATGGACCCAAAATTTTACATTTGCATATTAAGAAGCTTCCAATCAATGAGCCCAAAAACAAGTTTGTGAAAATTTGATTCGTGATCGAAAATTTTAATAGTGTAGGGTAAGAGGTCGATTTTGGCAAAAAAGTAAACTGTACATCGTTTTTAAATGGCCAAAGTTTTAACCATTTCTCCGAACAAAAAAAAAATGAAAAAATTTCAGGAGTTTCCAGTTTCCAATCCAGTCCCAAACAGATAAACAGAACCGAAAACCCGATAAAATCTAATTGAAAAATCTATTACATAAATCGACTTGTTTATTAAGCCTCCAAAGTTCGAATTATTTTAAGATGATTCAGGGCTATTAACCTTAGGCGCTTTTATTTGAGTTTTCCACACTCAAACCCTGATATGAATCATCAACTTTAACAATGTCGCCATATCAAGTGCTTGTTAAACATTGTGCGGCAATCAAGGTGAGATAAAAATATAAATTACTTTGTTAGGTGCGCCCCTGGCATACCATTGAAGCATTAAAAACTACGTTGTTTACTGAAAAATCCCCTTCGTTTGAGCCAACAGCCACCTAGCAAATGAATGAGGTTCCACCTGCAGTTTGAGAACAGGTGAAGTGGGACATGGTGAAATAGACAGGCCGATTTGGATAAAGTAAAGGCAAAGAGAAAAAAAAAGAATCGACTCGCTTGCGGCATGTTGTCATGTTGACCGACTTCTTCGGGATGCTGGCTGCATCTTCCGTTATCTGCGGCAACATTCCATTCACCACTAATCGCTTCAAATAGTGTTGAGTAGGCTTTTTGGCCACAGCCGCACATCTATTCGCTCATACTCATAATTGGGGTTTTATTCATGTTTCTACATGGCAAACCGCTTTTACCGTTCTTCAGAGCAGCTCGCTCGAGATGATGATGTCTTGGGTGACACGATTTTCGTCGATTTCGCTTTTTAGTTTCGGCTCGTTCTCATTTGTTTCGTTTACTATTCGATATGTTAATACGGAAATCAAGCAGCCAGTGACACTGCGGATGTAAACGTGCTTGGTTTTCAAACTATTGCTTTTCTAGGCTCAGCCTCTTGCCCTATTAATGCTATCTAGTAATTAATTCGGAAGAGAAATCGAAGTTGAGGCTTCTTAAGCGCCCACACAGTGCCGCTGGGTTTAATTGATGGCCTTCGACAAAAAAAGGTCAAAAGTGGGTTTTATCTAGTTTTCGCGGCAAGATTATGTTAGTCGTTAATTACACATAAATTAACAAAATGGCCAATGATTTTCTCGGCCTTAGGGTGTGGGCGGATTGCAAACAGTGTTTTTCAGAACTACGATGGATTCCATTCGAGTAGCCATCACTGAGGCGCAATAAAAACAAGCTCCTTCTCATTTATCTTCTTTGAATCTGCAATTGCCATGAACTCTTATTAGGTAATCTCACCGCTACTGTTTCAATCAGACACCCACATGCCTGAGCAACTGTTTTAATTTGTTGGAGATTTATTCGAAACATTTTGTTGTTCTTCGCTAAAGGGGGCAGGATACCTTATCGTAGGATCGTTCTTAGTGTTGGTTCGGTTCAAGTGATAACAGCCTAGACCCAATTTGGCATGTTGCTAAGGCTTTCACTCAATTAACTGGCTTGGCAAAAACAAAAACGAGCAAACAAAGCGATTTTATGGTTTTTAAGCATTGCGCGACCGCCAAAAAGGAAAAGGAAAACGGAAAAAGTCTCTTTTTCTGTTCGGTTTTTAATCTATTGAACACACTAAAGGATTGCGAAAAATCGTTAAACGATTCATTGTTCAACAAGCGGATGGTTGTTGTTGTTGTTCTGGTGGAACGGTGATGATGAACCTTTTTTGCATACTTTTGCTTTCCATTGCATCTGGAAAGTTTCGTTTTTTTGCAGAACTATCTAAGAGAAACTGCAAAAATTTAATTTTTTGAAACGCTACAGTCGTTTTCTTGTATTTTTAGCACTCAGGGAAATGATCACAAGTTTGAAAGAGGTGAGTTTTCTCAATGAAGACCCAGAAAACTCGCTGGTTTCAAACAATGGCCGCAAGTTACCTTACATTATTATTTTTTAATTACATTTTTTTTTCAATTCACAACTGTTTTTGAATTTTTTTTGGCTTTATCAGCCCTCCTCATCGGATGATTCACCTCATTCACCTGTTTACTGATAGGCCGGCACTGTTATCTTCAGTAAACAATAACGGATTATCGAAAATCTCCATGCTAACCGATATGGGGTTGGGCTTAGTTGGAAACTAGTTTAAATTTTTGCACCCCCGTTCTCACCTTCTCCATCATCAAAATGAGCCACACATGATGGTAATCCAACGAGCCTAAGTGATGGTAATCCGTATCCAGTCGCGCTGGTAAACCGGCACTAAAGCACACAATCCAAAGCTAAAGCGGCCGTTGAAGCACTTTTGAAGAAGGTAAACAAAAAAACACCAAGCACAGGTGACCGGATCACTACTATCACCACACGTCGCGTTTCGTCGCCCGGTTATCGTCAAGGTAAGCTGAAAACTGACAACGGGTTCGAGACCGTTGAGCGGAAAAATAACGTTGCGAATGGAAAACTATCGCCGAGTGATCGATTTTGTGCCTAAAACACTTCATAAAGGGGGAAAGAGTATTTTTTCGAAAAGTATAAAATCTTTCCCTCAAAATGTCTCAAATTTTACATCATTTTCACCTGAACGAGGCGAGGAATGCCAGGAGATCTTAAGAATCTTAAAAAAACACATTAAACCCTTCAGATCCGAAATAAACAACATTTTCTGTCCATTTTTTGAGCGATTTCGTCCTTATTATGGACCCAAAACTTTATATTTGCATGTTAGGACGCTTATTAGACCAAACAATCCAATGAAAGCAAAAAACACGGTAGTAAAATTTTGATTTTTGTTCGAAAATTTCATAAGAGGGAGGGTTGATTTTTTCGAAAAATATAAAATGTCAGAAAGTATCTCGAATTTTACATCATTTTCATCTAACAGAGGCGAGGAATGGAAGCAACTCTTTGAAAACACAATGAACCCTTCAGATCCGAAATAATCAACATTTTCTGATTATTTTGAGCGGTACCGATTTTTAACCGACGATTTTATTTTCAATTATGGTGTCAAAAACTTTACATTTGCATATTAAGGAGCTTCTTAAGTCGCAAACAACCCACAGAGCACAAAAAACACAGCTAAATTTTGATTTTTAACCGAAATTTTCATGAAGAGAATAAAATGTCTTCATGTCTCGAGTTTTACATCATTTTCACCGGAAAGAGGCGACAAATGCAGGCAGATCCTTAAACACACACTAGACTCATCAGGTCCGAAATAAAGAACATTTTCTGTACATTTCGTGTAGTTTTTAAGACGAAAATTTCCACATGTTTTCAAGAGATTTCCGGAAAATACCGTTTACGTTTTACGGTATAGCGATCCGTAGCAGAGCGACGCGTTTTTGTTTAACCGCAAGACATTCGCTGTCCGTCCGGCCGGTGTGTGTATGCGGTGTTTCTTCCTTTTTTCCTCCCTTCTTCGGTTCAACCGAAGAAGGAATTAACGAAGCGACCACGTGAAGGCCCTATAAAAGTCCCCTTATCAGACCATTTGGCTGGCAAGCAAGTCCGCTCTAGCGGCAAGTTTTACGTTGATTGATACCGATCTGGACTGCTTCCATGGACGAACTCCACTGAAAGTGTCTTAATTGAGGCACTTGACCAGTCCGCGGAGGTCCATTTGATGATTCATGCAACCCATGAGCGATTGTTCAGGAATGCGACTTAAGTTCCATGATGCATTAAGGCGTATCGGATGGAAGAAGAACCCACTGGTGATTTATGTGCTTTAGACTCTAGTAAACCTCACTGGTGAATAGATGGATCTTTTAAAAATTAATTGTTTCTAAGCTTTTCCAATTGTTTTTAATTCTTAATAAAGGTTTTTAACTCTCTCATAAAGAAAACCCTATGACCGTTAGACCGGTTGGCGAATGCGCTTATTTCATCAATTTACTACTTAAGTTCTTTTGGCGGATTTTACTTAAACAATCCTCTAATTACTTGAATGGGCTTCAGGTGGCGCTACCAATGTTAAAAGCGTTCAATTCGTTTCCTGTTAGAGCGAGAATTCAGACCAAAATCATTAAATCTCTGACGGGTATCGTGTTGAGCAACGACATTCGCCATTATGTCAAAAGCAAAATTGGATTTTTTGTGTGCGCACACAAGTAAAAATCGACTATTCAAACCTTCTATTATCAACTGGCTTTATATACAGAATGTACAAAGTTATCTAGAATAGCGTCCTAAACTTGGTAGTCACCATAACAGCCCGTTGTAACCGACCCATTTGGATCAAAGAGTTTTGAGGCGGCCTGGAAAGCCACCATATCCAGATTGTTTTGATGATGATTGCCCAAACCCCCTTGGGACAGGCTCATGTTTCCCAAAATAATGTCTCTGGAAAAAACCAAATCAATCTTTAACGTGAAAAAACGTCGCTACGCCTGTATAATTTATGTGGGACATTAATAAGGTACGTGCCTTCGAAACAGGGCCCCGTTTATTCACGCCTTAAATTGCCTTTTCCAGTTCGGATTTGTGAGGCTTTTATGTTGTGAGTGGTGGGTTAATACGGGAATATAGTGAAGAACTTACGGTCTGGATTGCGGCGTTCGATCTCTTTGCCGTCGGTTTTTGAACCAGTTCGAAACTTGTGTTAGGGTGAGCCCTGTTCGCTTGGAAAGCGCCTTTTTCTCATCGGGGGTAGGATATCTGAAATTGCCAAATCTCCATGAAATATTGGGCAACAGTTGACATTTTAGAGACTGCAAGTTTAAATTATAAAATCCAAGAAAATGCTGCCAATTTAAGGCTTCAGTACAGTTCTTTTTTCAACTTGCCTGTTTCTAGCATAGCACTCCTTCAAAGCGTTCCGGCTGCGCTCTTTAAAACAATACACAGTTTCCTCGCCATCCCAGATCGTTTTGGGCAGCGGGTACTTTTTGCGTAACCGATACTTATCGACAGCCCCTGAAAACGGTCCGGTTTAAGCCTGGAAATAGTGGTTCGAAACACCCGGACTTACCCAGAGGACGTCCGCGTACTTTTTCCGCCTCCTTGTAGTGCGACTTGAACCACAAGGTTTGCAGCTCGGTGTGCCATCGTGGGTGGAAACTGTGATTTTCCAAAATTGCGTACAGTTCATGGTAGAACCCCCGATGGAACGCCACTGCTGCTCGGGCGCGCAAAATACTCTCGTTTTTCTGGAGCGTGTCGGTTTCGGGAAGGTACCAGAGGAAGGTGGCCAATCGATCCAAATCGCCCCGTTGTTGCAGGGCTTCGCACATGCATTGCACCTAAAGAGAGCAGAAAGTTTTTTAAACACTCTGTGTTAACGCGAAAATTGCAACTGTTGAACTGAGGTCTTTTAAGCGAAGAAACGAGATTTCAATTAATCCATTTTGGCTTTCCTTCTTAAAAATTTGCTATCAGGAAAATCTCCATCGTTAACACACTAATTATATGATTAATTCGCTCGAATCGCTCCTAAAGAGACTAGAATTTGAAACTAATGGATTTTTCGGGTTTTTAGGCCGTCGCTCGGTAGATTTCTTCTTTTAATGAAGAAATTCTACGGAGCGGCGGCCTAAAAACCCGAAAAACCTATTAGTTTCAAGGAATGGCCTCGGAAGTATATCTCTTTTGATAGACTAGAATTTGTTGCCAAAACGTCGCGATTGCACTTCCTTCAAGTGCCACCAAAGTGTTACATACAATTTTCAAGCATAGATTTCTTGCGATTTATAGCTTTTGGTTTCTTGCGTTCATTTTATAGAAACTATTGCAATTTTCCAAATGACAATCTTGCCCTTAATACGGCTCTGTAGTTTTTGGTCGTTTTCCTCAGTTAGGCAATTCACAATACACATGCTTAAGCGCGCATTCCCTGCTCAATGTGACATTTTAGAGAGGGCCGGCTTAAAGTTATTTTTTTAATGCAAATACTGTTTAATTATTATGGACATTTTGAAATTTTTAGTTTAAAAATTGCAAAAATATGATTTTTATGTACATATATCCCACTGTTTCCATGTCATGGATTTTTATTTTTCTTACAATAAGAGGTTCCTCAATATGTTGCGCGTGTACCAGCCGGTTTTTAATCAAAAAGTGCTTAAAAGTACTGGAAATTTCACCCTGTAGATTATGCAGGGACTTGGATATCAAGCCGCTGTAAAAACCTACTCAGTTAAGGAACATTTCGGTGAACTTGAGATAAATCGTTACTATCTGAAGGCTAGTTTTACAAAAAACGCTGAAGTTTACACTGTTTAGGAGTTCTTGAACTCGTACGCTCATTGTTTTACAAGATAAGTGCAGCCTCTGAGGTTCTAAGAATTCTAAGAGTTCTAAGAGTCAAGTCAAGTAGGGCGAAAATTGGAAAACATATCTTGAATTTACATGAACGGGCAAAATCAGACGACCAGATTTTCATTGGGTTTTTGAAGAATTGAACTTGAAAATTAACCCAATATACGCACAGTCTGGGTGATATTTCGTGTACCTACCTGATCCGGAGAGAAACTAACGGCTTTCTTTCCAAAAGTATCCACTTTTAGCACAACACTTTCCGCGAGTTTTCCCTTATTTTGGGTGCCGCAGCTGAAAATGTCCGCAGCACATTTTGCACTTTCGCCCGTGATTTTTTTGAAGCTCTCGTTGAACATTGTCACCCGTTTTTCTTCCGCACACTTTCCACTGCCGTTTGTCGGTTTTCCACTGTTGATTGAGCTGTATTGATGATTGAAACGTCGCGTATCGCAATTTTTTCGAAACTTTTCATTCGAAAAATAGCCGTCCAGCTTGCCGTTGGTGGCGAAAAACAAATTATCCGTGTAGTAGTTCATGTTGGTCGATTGTTGAGTGAAACTGTCCGATTGAGAGTCGTTGGATGTGCCGGAAGACGCGTCCATCTCCATCGACTCAAATTACCATTAAACCGTTTTCATATAGGAAAATTGATTCAAATGGGCAGTGACCAGGACATGGTCGCCGCACTTCTGTGCACTGATTTACACACGCCAATTTAGAGCGGTTTTTCTGGGGGCGGGGCCCCGCAATCGTCGACCAATCTCCGGCGTCTGCTCAAGTTTGTTGCCCGGTTACGTAACACCGCCTGAACGAATCGGGACGCGCCTCCGTACTCGGGACAAAGGGACGTCTTAAGGGCAGGCGATGCCACTAAAAGAAAACATGCCAGAGTGTCGGATTGCATTGTTTTTTCTTCTCCTGGGCCTGAGTCGCTCCTTGTAGTGTTCGAATGGGAAAATTGGGTTCTTTAGTGTTGAAATTTTCGGTTTGATGTGACAAAACGATTAAAATGTCGAATTTCAATGCCTATTTGTATTATGGTTACTGTTCGAAAAAGAGGTTTTTTGACCCCTTTATGAGCTGGTTTTTACTCAGCTTATACTGTGGGGTATTTTCTAGGGGTTTAGCCATAAATTGCTCCATTACGTGCAAAGATCGAGGGCGGATCCAGGGGGGGGGTCATGACCCCCCCCATTCAATTCTGTATCCAACGATGCCAAAACGAATTCTGTGGCTCGAATGGTTCTTGAGAAACTTCGAAAAAAGCAGCGTCATGTTCAAGTGGATTTTGCAACTCAAAAAAAAACCGCGCAAATCTAAAACTTCTTGAATTCAAGCCTTTTTTGAGAAAACTGCCAACATTTTCCCATCCATGGTTCACTTTCTAAAAAGGCCATTTATTTCTGTCTAGAATGATGTACAAATGAGC